AACTTTTCCACACGCATCCCTCTGATAAAAGCTTCCACAAACCCATCACATTCAAGGATGAAACTGACTGCATTTCCATACAACCCACTTAAAAATACGTAAATTTCAAAGCCTCCAGAAAGTCTTTTCCTATCTCATGATGGTAAACGGACGTTTACCATTAGGGGGCAGTGTAAGATCATTTCTTCCTTCCTCCCAGATTAACTGTTTTGGAAGCTGGCGTGGGAAGAGGGAAGCATCTGTATTGAGTGGGTGGATACAGAAGTATGTGGAATGTACTTAGCATGTCAGCATTTGCTTTCATGTACGAGATGGATCTACCATAATGACCTCTTCTACATGCAAAACAACAAAAACACTATTCAAAAATGTTATAACCACCACTAGGTCTAACTGCTGTTACTGCTTTGGAGAGAATGGATTTTCTTAAGTCTGACAGAGTAGGCAGAGGAAGCAGGTAACCTTTGATTAAATAAGGACTTGTCGTGCAGGAGGGGAAATGCATGTGGTACACCTGAAGAAGCAATTACATAGATATAAATTTTCCACTAACAGAATTCAACCAGTGCCCTAATGGAACAGGCATCACATTCTCTCTCAGAATTGTTCAAAATTCTGAACAATCCTATGTTGGTAGGATGTAACCTACCAGCCTGCTTTAGTAACAGCTCTAAGCTGCTAAAACCAATCCAAGTACTGCAACACTGCTGTGAATGTTAGCATTTTCATACCAAGTTTCCACATTTTTTAGACTGAGGCAACTACTCTAGATAGTCTTTTTCTTCCTGGAAGCTATTTAAACCTTCTGTAAGGGTTACTGGCTACATCTGTGTAACACCACAGCCAGGAATATTCCTTGGGGAGGAAGGTGGCACAGACCTGCTTTGCACTTAAAAGCCAGCATAAAGACAGTGATAGAAAAATTAAAGTTTTGCATCAGTCTTTACTCCATTCTGGAAAGTAAAAAAAATAGGTTAAGTATTTAAAATATTTATTTTCTGGTGTGAATAGAATACTTTGCAGCATACACACAATCTGCACTAAGTGATAGCAATGTAAAAAGAAGTTGACCTGACTGGACCTGTTCTGTGTTTTCAAAGACAACCAAACAATTCTTAGCGAGGCAGGAGAACAAATGTGTGCTAAAACTCTTTAGGAATACATCTGTGACTCTAAGGGTCACAACTGAAACATAATAACCAGCAAGTTCAAGTTTCATTACAACAGACATTATTATTTAGCAACTAAGATTCTTGGTTGTATGGCACAAGAAAGGCAATTAATTCTTGGAAAACATGAAGAACTTATCAACCATAGATTACGTATACTTACTACCTGTTTGCCTTGCAGGCTGAAAGATGATGGCTTGAACATCATGTACACATATAACATTTGAAATATCTTGGCTATTTAAAAAACAATCAGGAGGATGACTGCAAATCCATACTTCTTATTTTGCAACCTTGCAACTTGAGTATGAAAAGAGAATGCCAGTGCATATTTTGAGTATATATATATATAGCCCCTAGAATACATCTACTGGCAGTATTCTAATTATTAACAGAATGTGTTATAGCCAATACTATCTATTTCCCTTAATGCACAATTCAAACCTCCTGTTCACTTAAATCCCAGTCTGCTGGGTCAGATGTTTTTTTTATCCCTGTGCTTGCCTAATTGTTTAATGAAACGCTGTACTAAAGCACTTCTGCTCATTACTTGCAGGATTTTTTTAGCATTTAAATGTTCCATTTGCAAGACCTTGAAAGTACCCACCTAAATGATTCAAAAGATAAGATTAATTTTCAAGCACATTTCAGTTGGACAAAGTACCATAAACAGTGTTTTAAAATGCCAAGAAAGGAATTTTTAGAACCAAGCATAACCCATATTAAAAGACAAACAATAAACATCACAACAGATAGGTGATCTAACTATCTCTTATGCTGCAGATTCTTTCCTATATCATTTGCAGATGACTGACAATCACCTTTTAGAAGGAGGACTTCTCTCTTTCAGTCTGTAGTCTACCCACTTCCTGCCTTCTTTTCATCATGTTCCTATCTAGCTTATTCCTATCCTATTTTTTCACATCTATTTTTCACTGTGATTCTCCCTTGTCCTCTCTTTAAATGTTTCTTTTGTTTACCACTATTTGCATATTGAACAGAAGACACCCCCTTTCCCTTCCTTATTAGTCATCAGGCTGTAAGGGCTGCAGATTCCACCAAGTCAGACCAAAGCTGAATGCTTCAGCTTCAAAATTAAAATAAATCCCAATCTGCATATATTTAAAAACAGTTTAAAGAAGTCAAAGGTGTTACTAAGGAGAGATCCATTACGCTGCAGAGTCCCATCTCCTTGTATACACAACTGCTCTTCATCATATTAGCCTTTCTTTTAAAGCATTCCCAAATTCTATTCACTTTTATCAGTTCTAGTGACAAATTATTCCAATGTCTAGTAATGTTAATGCTAACATCTTGCTTACCTACTCCTCTTCCTAATCTATAATTGCCTTTTTCTCACTACCTTGTACAACTTCTCATTACTCACCCATCCCATATGTCAAGTACTTTCAAGTGCACAAGTTTGCTTTGATAAAGTAACTTCCAATACCAAATAGTTTAAATAAACAGCACATTGCTCCAATCTTTTAGGCAAATTATTAAAGCTTCTCCACTGGCTTTTAATTAAACACAGAATGTTCCATTTACAGTCACAACTATTAACAGTGTGCTGTCACCCAGAGCACGAGGTCAGATCAGGCTTTTCCTCTTTCCCATATTCACAACTTACCCTCAATACAATTACTTGTTATATCGACTAGTGTTCCTTTTCTCAAACTGGTAATTTTCAACCCCAGTGCCTGCCATAACCTTCATGCCTCACCTCCAATAAACTGTAGATCAATGAACAATAAATCAGGCCCAAACACTTCCCCTATTTCCCCCATCCCTCCTTCAAAGAAAGGTTCTTTCCTGTCTGTATTTGCATATTTCTGACTAGATTAAACAAATCAGAAACTAATGCTGTTCTTGTTTCTGGAAAAAAAAAAATATCTTAATCTATCACATTGGCATTCTCTTAACAGTAACCAAGAATTACCAATTTTGGTTATGAGTTCAAACATTACATTAGAAGTTGTGTTAAAATCAGAACAAATTAAAATTAACTGTTTCATAACCATTGTATTTAAAGAAAGAAGTACTGTGAGAGACCTATGGATAGAGGACTATGCAACAGAACTAGTTACCTTGACTTAGATCACAGATAAAATATTGGAAGAGCTCTTGCAGGATTCAGAAAATACAGGACTAAAACAGACAATATTAGTTTTAAACGTCAGCCAGTCACAACTGTTTCTTACAGTGTTTGAGAAGATACTATATGGGCTTTGACATTAAGCACTTCATTAAAAAAGTAACCAGGCAAATTAATATAGTGTAATTTTAAAAGAGTAGCTGCCATAAGATTAAAAATTTATTTTTATGCAACGCCTACAGAATACATCACATAGATTAAAGAACTAAGTACAAAAATCCATGGAGAAGCAAATCTACAGGGAAAGCTTTACTAAAGCCCACATTACTTTTCCATCATCACTAATAATAGCTTTATCACCAATAATTTTTTTATAAACAGTTGGTAAAAACATCAAGAAGAAAACTCTCATCTGTACTGAGGCAAGGAAGCAACAGAGGAACATTGTCAAACGCAAAGAACTTAACAGCTAGGTTAAAGGAATCCACGCCATCCCTACAGAATAATGAGCTGAGCATGCCACCAGAGAAAGTTGTAACTTAAAGAGAACCAGCTAACAAGACACTCACTACTGGCTGGACAGTGCAGCACTGTGGTAAAAAGGATTATATTTATTTGTTTCTTTTTTATTTACAAACAGGGAGGGAGAATGAAGAAGAGAGAGAAGTCTTCTAATAAGATGCTCTAGTACTGTCCACAGTCCTGGAATTCACATTCTAACAGGGTTGGAAAACTGGAGAAGATGAAAGTACCACCTGTCAGAAGTTACATCAGAAGCTGGAGAAGAATACTTACAAAGAGAAAAAATATTCAGTTTTTTTTTTTACAAAAAAATGGGTTAGTACTTTGAAAAGAAAGGAAAATACATATTCAAGCTAGGAAAGAAATGCACAGCCAGACACTGAAAGGTGATGGCAAATCCAAAATAAATCCTGTTAAGATTTTGGGAAAAGGCCAATTCCCCATTAGAACAAGGTAAAAATGGATACTACAGATTTTCTTCAATGCACTACCCCTCACAAACAGAGTATTCAGCAGATGAGACCCCTAGTAATAGTTCCATTTTAAATGGCCTTTGGTTTAGGTAGAGCTGGTATCCTGAACAAGAGAAATGTTATTCCTGAGGCTATTTCTGGGAGCTGGCCAGGTTTGGAGCCCTAAGAGTGCCCCATTTAAAGTCCTCTGATTCCATTTATCACTCACTGTAAAACTCTATTTCAGAAAACATTGTCATAAATTTTACCATACTTACAAATGAAAGTAAATAAGTCTGTGGGCTGGAAAACAGTATTAGAAATTTAATGAAATAAACTAGTTGATGTGGTAAATCACTTTATCAATACAATTTTAGCAACACACGAGAATCTAAACATCCTCAAAATCCCCACGAACCTCAAATGAAACAGTATGTATTCCATAACTGCAACGTATAAATCCACAGCCTGAGGTTATTTACCAATCCACAAAATCTAAGCATCACTGGGGTTCAACATATCAGGCTTTTAGATTATCTACAGTTCTAACTCATAATCCAAAAATGAGGATGATGAAAAAGGATAGAACATACACTAACAACTTTTTTTGAGTACCAAACAGCATACAACTAATATATGTATTTTTAAATCTTTCCCTGCCCTGTAAAAAATTAAATTTTTGTAGAATTCACAAAGGCACACATAGAAAAAAAAACCAAACCAAAACACTAAAAAAGTGGATTAAAGGCATTTGGTACTCACTTGTCTATCTCAATACCAAGCGGATTAGCTGGACGTAGGGACAGGGGGGGAATCCCTTTATTCCTATCAGTGCGCATGTCATAATAGTTCATTTCATCCACCCAGACAGCAGACTGATCCAAGATACCTAGAGAAAACAAAGCACAGATCCTTAAAACAACAAGGGCGGTCCAGCACCATCAACTTCTAACATACTGAATTAATTTGAAAAATCCTGATAAATATAAAATGCATGCCTAGGTAATATATTGGAAGATACATGGCAAAGCAACCTGGATGCAATTATGCTATATTATTTTATTATAGCTGCTGAAAAGATCTTCAAGGCTGGGCATCAATCATTACCCTCTTACAGAGTACAGTTTCATGCACATTAAGAGCATTTTCCTGATCACAGAGTATTAGTATCTTTCATTCCTCCAAGTATTCTGGTATGTGTCCAAACCTTGTCATGTACTACTTTCAAAATGAGAAACTAACTGGAGGTCATCTTGTTCACATATTTTGGGGAAGATCCCTTTCCTGTGCAGTCACTAGCCAAAAAGCAAGTAGATTTTGGCCATATACCAAAATAGATGACTCCAAGGACACAGAACTGACTTTGTTTCCAAAGCCTTAGCTTAGACAATGCGTAAAGGTGAGGCACCATATGTCTTGGCCCATGGCCAAAAACGCAGCCAGCTCTACTATTGGCTATGTCCTTTTTTAACATACCCAACAACCCAAGAAGCAACACCATCTTCACATCCATTTTCTAAGGTATCATTCTTCTTTCCCATCACCAAAAGTTTCACTGTGTAACATTTGCACTTCGTTCACCTTTCTATTATTAAGAACCTAGTACAGCTTGGGGAGAAATTCTGTGTTAAGTGCCACTGAACCACAGAGAACAAAAGCTTAAAACAGCTCATGTGGGAACCCCTGTGTTAGAAAAGATAATGATCCAACCTCATCAATGACGTGTTCAGAAAAAAGCATTTTCAGTCCTGAGGGTATTTAGACTGGATTCTAGATTAGGCAGAGGTCCTAGACTGCTTGGCAACATTATTTCAATGGTTAAGCATCTCATGAGAAATACTTAAAACTTTCCATCTTGCAGGATGGTTTGAATTACAAATAAGAAACGTCACCGAGGACTCAAGGGATAAACAACCAGCTTAGGATTTAGGTATAAAGGTTTATATTTTTTAGGTTTATATTTTGTATTTATCTAGTACACTTAAGAGTAGTTACATGTACTGGATCTATTAGGATTTTTTATTTTTTTAAATTTTGAAAGCTTAGTGATACTTCTTACAGAAAAATAAAGGCTATTTTTCATTAGTCATTGAGGGGTTTATCAGGATATTGAGATAGGAGGATTAATTTCACATATAGCATGAATTTATCAATGTATGTGGTTACACCTTTTATTTATATACTCTGCTTTTTCAAAACAACTGGAGATCACCCTGAGGTAGATGGATCCCTCTTAAACATACATTTTATCTAAAAGGCACTCAAGTTATATACGTGCGTAACAAAGAAAACAGGTAGAATCTGAAAAAGAAAAATACCTATTTTTTCAGGTTTAAGCAGTTTGAAGGAAACCGTTGAAGTTCCTTTGCCACCAGACTTTGTAGTAACAATAATGTCTCCTTTGTCATTTTTAGCCTGTCCAACTCGACACACAATTTTACTGGCAGACATCCACTCAGCAGTTAGCAGACAGTTGTGCCCACAGATTGTTAATCCTGAGAAAAAGAAAGAAAAAAACAACCAAAAAACCCTATTTGAATAGAAGTACCTTTTGAAATTCTGTAATGCAAATACATTTACAATGCTTCATATATTTTACATACATATATGACCTTTATCCTATCCCTTACAGCCAGCTACAGCAAAAAGAGTCACAAATTCTTTCTTTAGATGTTCCCTAGGTGATTTCAGGTCTTTTGCCCTAGTAACACTTCATAAGCCACATGCAATGCTGCTTGAAGTCACCTCTTCTACCAGTTACAGGCTACTGCAACTTTTATTTCATCATGTACAATGCATCTTCTGTCTGCAGGATACCAGAGAACTGCTGTTCAGTACCGTACTCATGTGAAACTTCCATCAAAACTGCATGAAACGTTTTCACAAGTTCACTCTATATGACTTTGCAAAATATTCATAATGCATGATGTTTCTTACACCTTATTCGTTTAGCAGTACTTTTGTGGATGCAGGAGGATTTTCTGGTAAAAAGAAAAAAGTATTGATAAAAATTCTGCCCCCATCTCTTCTATACAGAATCCACGATGCAAGACCAATACTGCTGAATAAACTGCCCTTCCTGTATGAAAAAAGTCATGTAATGTTCATCTATTTCCTCTTCTAAACTTTCTCTTGACAAAAGCTCGTGGATTGTTTTCTCAGGTCTGGAACAATCAAGAGTTTTGTTGTCCTGAAGAACTGGCTAGAATCTAATTTCTATAATACCTATTTAGAGAATAACTTCATTAGCTTCTTCTTAAATAACATACTTACCTAAAAATATTTTGCCCTATGTGCAAAAGGACAGGGCCATACCGGTTTGTTGGCTGTACTGGAATACACATTGGTCAGGCATAGCAGTTCCTTCCCTGTTGGCTTGGCTTTTGTTTTTAATTTCTAGAAAGCTCTGACCAATTTAGAAAAAAAAAAAACTCTTACAGGCAGAAAAGGGTCAGCATATGTGGCTCAGTACCAAAGCTTCACACTTCTCACAATTTAAGTCTCTGACATTACCCAGCAGACAAATTTGGCAGTTTTCATGGAAGTCAGACATAAAAATGCCCTCTCCCTGCCAAAAACTATTTTGAAAATGAAAACCAAAAAATAAAAACCAGAAAGGCACTGAATCTTATTAAAACCGAAAGTCATTTTACTTGAGCAAGGACAGTAGATTTGTTATGGTTTGGGTGTATTGTTTTTTTTAAAAAATGACTGCAACGGGGGGGGGAGGGGTGTGTGTGTGTGTGTGTGAAATAGGATACACACCAAAAAAGCCTTAAAATAAAAAAAATATTTGGTTGTTATTATTTGCAACATTTTAAACAGGCAAGTTTTTATTTTTCAGAAGGGAAGAATAACCCACACATTTATGATGCATGGGTTTTAATCTTAGGTTATATTATTACATGTCCTCTGGTTTTATGCTAGCAACTTCTCTGACGTAACAAAAAATAAAGATTGCAGTAGGAAGTAAGACTAATTGAAAGAGTTTGTCTGAACTATTCATAAAAAGGTTTTCACCTTAGAATTCCTAAGGCTGGAATTCATGCTTAAATTAAGTAATACTGTAAAATCAGGATCTGAACTATAGCGATTTAGAAGGGTAAAAATGTTTTGACTCTTTTGAAGATACTTGTACCAACTTTTTTTTACTCATCAGAGGTTCCTAAAGCTCTCAAGAGAACAAGATCTGACAAGATCCAAAACAGAAGGAAACAGCCTAAATCAATAAAGTCATGCTGGGGGAGACTTTTTGATAGTATAGATACATCTTTTTCTCTAAAAAGAGAAAACTTCCCTTTATATAGTATCTCATTTTAATCTGTTGTACAAAGATCTTTGAGAATATTATAGTCAGGTTCTAGCTTTTATGTATCTTTCAATACATAGGCAAAAGTCATTCTCTTATTGAGACTTTCCAATTCTGGTTAAGCTTATATATTGACAATTCTACAATGCCTAAAAAAACCACTTACAGCTGCAAATGTCTTAAAAGAAAACTAAACTTTGAGGGAACAAATATTACAAGTACCTCCTGGATTTGACTTTTTGTACCATAAGCTACAGAGTTACAAATAAAAAGTTTATTTGGTTTCAAAGCTACAAAGAGATTACTAGAAGGCTCTCTCAAATGAAACAAAAAGGCATATTCTTCTATTATGTGATATTCGGTTTATATATATAAAAGTTTCTTGCTTTTCATTTTACTCTAATGCATCTCAATCAGCAGACTCTAAACTTTATAAAACCCTCACTGAAGCTCGCTTCAATCTCATGCCTACAAAGGCTCACTTTTGCAACTATTTCCATTCAAGTCAGAGGGAATATTTACATGCCTGATTTAACCATTAACAAAAGTCCTTACATGTCTGGGGCCTTAGTCACTTACTGGAGAAAGCTGAGAATTGAGCTAAGGGAAAAAAAAAAAAAAGGAACGCAATCCATTACTTTTTTTTCTTTTTTTTTTTTTAACCACAAAGCATGAGATTATTAGAAACTATGTATTACAAGGATCACTCTAAACAAAATAAAATATTAGCAGTCAGCTATAATACTGAGGCATGGCTTAGGAGGTACCTTCCTTCCAAGAACCTAGCATTGATCACTTCCAAGAGGCTCATACTAACAAACTGATTAGGCTAAGTCCATCAATCACACAAATTCACAGAAATATACTCACTTCCAGTAGTGCTATTTGACAATTTCTCAATAAACATTCATTAGTGTATCACAGCTTTGTCTAGCAGCTCAGAAAAATACTGCTTCCCTTTTGAAAGGCAGCAAACTGAAGGGGACAATTGTAGTAGTTTATGCTTGGCCATGTTGTTCATCCTACTGGCCATTAAGAGAATTCAGGAATCTCGGTTTACAGCCATTAAGTGAAAAATTATTTTTAGCAATGGCAAACAAAATTCCAATGGACTTCAATGGAGCCATGACTGCACAACAGACCCTGAACACTGCATGTAACCAGGATGATATTCATGCAGAACTGACAGTAAAACCAAAAGAGATTCTCTGAAGAGCAACAAGAAGGGTCAAAGACATGTCAAAGATATGTGCAGAAAACGTAAGTACGCTAGGACTTTTCAGCCTGGAAAAGAGGCAACAGAGCAGTGGTGATTCAAGATCTGTATGGTCAGAAGAATCAGAGAAAACTGCTTGTTCCATCTTTAAACAAAGGAGATGTGATTATTCAATTGAAAATACCATGCTAAAATCAAAACAGCAAAGGAAATGGTTCTTCACTAATGTGTAGCTAAATTACCGAACCTGATCTGTCATAACTGTTGCAGATACACAAATTAACTTTTACACTAATTCAAGAAATAGCAATGCTCAGTGACTTTCTTAATATACTGAAAACAATTTATGACGGAAAATTTCTATGCTGAAATTCTCAGTGCTTGGTAAAGTAAAAAAGGAGCACCCCACTACATCCACCCTCTCCTAGTACACTGCCATAGGCATTCATTCTTAGTGTTCAGTGCAGGATGCTGAGTCAGGCTAAGGGTTCATTTAGCAAGGTATGGTCATTCCAATGAGTTACATCAGGCACCAACCCTGAATTTACACATTCAAGTGCATATTTGTGAAAAGGGCATTCCTCGTACCACTCAACACAGATTTTACATTGCAAAATAATTATCTCTAACCACGTCCGAAATGCAACACACTACAGTCGCAAAAGAAGCGGGGCTTTTTTTCCAAACTTACCTATGAGGTCTGCAGGCCCAGTCCCCAGATTTTCTCCTCTAATAGTCACTTTTGTCCAGGAGATGCCTTCATTGGGGGAGATACCAGTTACAAGTGGGGGCTGCCGTGCTCGAGACATGATGTCGATTCACTTACTGAAAACCAAGTTGCTTTTATCTGTTCAGCAAGAAAAAATAATTTAAAAACAATAATTATATTATGTGAAAACTATTTAAGACCTTTGAAGCTGTTCTTCAAATTGGTAGAGAAACTAACATAAATACGGAATGCCACTCAAAACCTTTCTGCCACAGTCATAAACCAATACAGAATTCCACTCTTCCATTTTTTAAATTACAGTTCTAGTTCTGAACTGTAAAGAAAAAGTATATTCAGAAAACTATTAAACCCTCAAAATGCTTACTGAAACTACATACACATACTCCAAATCACTTATAACAGAATTTAAATGAGCCTATTCAATCCTGCATTAGAAAGTTATTATTGTGTTCCTTAGTAAGTCTAGAATTGCTAAGCTAAGCAGTAGACCACGATTACGTATTCGGACAACTTCCCCATCAAAATCAGACTTACTGGCACAGACAGTCCCATGGGAAGAAGCCCCCAGCACTTATTTGTATAAAGAATCAACATTTACATAAAATGAGAAAATTAAAACATTACTTACAGACAGTATGCTAGCAGAGAACATCAACGAAACAAATAATACACCGACAGATCAACAAGAATGTACATAAAATTACTGAAGAACCATTTTGAGAAGGGCACTCCTTTGCACCCAAAATCAGCTCTATAAAGAAACACCAATATGCTAGAGATTTATGCAGCTTTTTACTTTAGTGTGCAACTGATCACAGATTCCTATGTCTTATTAGCAGTTTCCTTTGTGCAGCTTTGCAGCTATAAGAAGCAGATGAATATCTGAAGCACATTAGCTCCCACCAGCTTCTCCACATTTATAACACTTAGTAAACATAGAGCCTTCCCATAGGTACACAGATCCTACAGAAGTAATAAGGCAGGCAAAAAAAAAAAGTTTTAAGGACTTCCATGGTAATTTTGCATTACCTATTCCATCTCATGACTCCTGAATTCTTCCACTAAGACACAACAACATCCTTAAAATTCCCAGTAAAAAAGACTTGTCACCTGTTTTTCTGGAACTCTACAAAGTTATCTGTGATCAGCTTCTAATAGGAATTCATCTGCATTGGAAAGGTAAGAACCAAAAATAACCTATAGGAAGAAACGTTTATTCCTAAGAAAATCTAGGAGTGATGAAATAGGTCAGTATTCAAAAACCTTCGGTATGTACATAGAATGCTTTAGTGTACACAATTTTTAAAGTTCAGGTTCATAAAAAATATGTAGAACATAAGTCAAGCTTCACAAGGCTTCTCTTACTTATTTTTATTTTGGATCAAGGTATGTCTTCTATTTGTATTTGCAAATAGTCAACTCCATGAAACCCAGAACCTCTGTAAATCACCCCTAACAACAAACTGCAGTAAAGTTGCAGTTTCCAAGCATCAGCAGTTAGGAAGTACCAGAATTAAGTAAGCTTTGTTTCAGCTGCTTCTGCATATATAAAATACATTTATTGCGTCAGCAATACACCATGCTTCTACACAACCTCCCCGAATTTTTCAGCATTACTAGAAAGCTCTGCCATAAGGATCAAATAAGCTTGCACTGGCCAGTTTTATTTCATGTTCTGAAGTTGGAACACGCACAGAAAATGATGGATACCAAGAAAGGCAAGCATAAGAAGGAAAATCTCATGGTGAAAGTAATCAAATACTGCCCCCAGAACAGGACCCTCTATCTATACCACAGATACATCGCAGGTCTCCTATAAAACTTTACAGTGTATTTTTTCCTTCTCAGTTTCTGGATGTCCAACTTCATAGCTGACAGCCACACATGTAGTCAGTACCCTGGGCACAGGGAATACTGCAACATCCTCCAAAATATTCATTCAGGTCCTATATAGCACCTCAATTCTACATATACATTTGATCTTAAATGTCTGCTTCTCAGTTCCGCATATTTAAAATAGCAATGCTACCACACACTTCAAAAGCTATTTTGAAGACAAATTCATTAATATGGAAGAGGCATTTAGATGCTCTGACCACCACAGAACGATTAATATCTTCAGAGAACTTTTGAGACTACCTTTGAAGAGTGTGCAATTAATAAGAGATGCAGATTCCTGTTGAACAAGTAAGAATATAATGGGAGCCATGTCCTGGGAAGCCTGGTACAAGCCCATGATAATACACACAATGTGTCTGGAACTAAAGTGGTTTGTTTTGGTTTTCTGGTTTTAACTGGTAAACCTCAATTATTTCTTGACTGGCTAATTTCACCATATTAAAAATTACATTATATTTTTAATAAAAAATTAATTTCCCAGGTTTCTGCAAGCAAGAAACTGTTGAAAAAGGAATTGAGGTATATAGCATTATATGGATGCTGTTGTAAGTCTGTATGTAAAATACGGTAGCTTTTTTTTTTACATGAACCCAACATGAGGCTAGCAAAGCGAGGAGTCAACAGATGCAGTCCATAATGTCCAGCACTAGAACAGCACTGAAGGAGAGGACTCCATCAGCTGATAGCCACTTCCAGCTACGAAAGTGAAGTCTGTGCTTTGACAGGCAAAGTCCTCCCTCCTGCTCCTTCATGTCCTACTCATATCTCTTTCCTAGCACTGTTTTCCTCACACACATGCACACAGAGACAGGCAGCCTCTGCCTCACTTCAAAACTGAGGCCACATCCTAGTCCTGCAGTCAAACTATTTCCTGCCCCTATCCTGCCGATTTTCCCTCTGACCTCTTATCCAGAAGTTCAAGCAGGCAGGGCAGGGCTATTAATATCCCAGTTCTCCTTTCAAATCCAGACACTTCGATAATTCCTCTTCCTTACCTTCTATTCCTGACCCCAAGCCTACTTGTCCAGATAGCTCATCCACACTATTATTAATCCACTTCCTCACCACAGGTGAAAATGATAGTACTGATCTTCTCTCAAGATCCCTAGTCCTGGAGTCAAGTTTTATTCAAGTACATTCAAAGCTATGTTGCCACAGCATCACCTGACAAAACAACGAGCAGCACAATAGAAATAAGCTCCCCATTTCTCATTGCTAAACCTAATACTACCTCGACCAATCAGAATCAGAAATTGCTGGGAAAGTTTTCTTTATTCCCATAAAATTATGAGAGGCATATGCACAGAAGCTTAGACTTTTCAGAATTTGAAGTTTCCTCTGGAGTCCTGTGCAAAGAGATCTTAGAGAAGAATCAAGTGCCTAAGTAGAGCAAGGAGGACAAACTGCATCTGTTCCTCATGATTTTATCTATGTAGTCTTCACAGCTTTTCTCACAGACTCTCAACAGAGCTCAAAGGTAGGCAACAGCTGTAAATAAATTGTTGGGTTACGTACCTACATGGACCCCTGATCACTTTCTGCAGGAACCAGCATGTATATAGATGCCAATAAGACTACATAAAATACCTCTTTGGGCCAATTTTTTCAGAAGATTTTATGAAAAGTTAATCAGTAACACAGATGTAAAAAAGCCACCTTCAGGAACTCAATGATAATATAAAGAGAAAGAAATCTTGAAGAAAACAAGCAAAACAGAAGCTACTTTGGTATTATTTGGTTGACTGTCATTCCCTCCCACCCCCCACAAATGTTACGGCTCCCTTGGATTGTTTCTTTCAAAATACCTAGGCACACAGGTAATTGCCTTGAATCAATACCAAAACTCAAAAGTAATATTACAACATATTTTTCTGGATTTCAGAAATTGGCACTAGATCCCCCTTCATGATGAGCTAAATAAATGTAATAAAAACGCTGAGCCTCCTGAGGTCTAACATTTCTTCTAAAGTATTTCCATACTTACTGCAGAATTGCTTTAAAATACCTCACTGGAATGAGAATACCACAGTAAATCTCAACACATTACAAAAGCACTACAGAACTCTATTATTATTTTTAAATAGCAATTGGTTTCATTTATTTCAAAGAGTAAGTGAAGGAACTGTATGGAATCTGCTCTTATTACAACTATCAAACAATTGCTTGGGAGCCTTCAATTTATTTATAGTATTTCTTCTCCTCCTCCTTATCACAAACATGTCAACAATTAAAATGACCAGACTGCTTATTAGGAAGCCTAGCCAGTATACTGCTGTGGCACAAAAGCAAGTTTATATATATATTTAGTAATAATAGTTTAATAATATTTAATACAAAGCTAAAAAACCTGTTTATTACATTAAAAGGTACAATAATCTAATAGGAGCATTTGTTGCAATTCTATAAATTGCCCTAAAGAGAAACTGTACTCCTTACAAATATGTACTATGTATAAAATAATATTAAATTTAAAAATCAAGTTATTTCTTCCGTGGAGCCAGGCTCATTGAAGTAATGTTAACAAGACTATTTTTTTTTTTTACTATGGACAATCTTCGAAACTAAGAGAGCCCCTCTCCCTCTTTACACCTCCCCACCCGTTTTTTTAAAACTTCACTTCCTCACAATATCTCCCCAACAGTTTAACAGGGATGACATCTGTTTGACTGCTCCCATGATCTTGCCCATATTATTCTATTAGTCTGTCATAATTCTTGTTATGAAAGTGCAAGGAGTTAGAAAGCCTCTGCAAAGACCACCTACTACAAAGCCATCTTGAAAAATGCCCTTCATAAACATCATCTTTGTCTTTACATGAGCTTCTCAAATAAACTGTCCTCTCACAAAGGTTTGGATTAAAAAAAATTAAAAAATCTGAGCATTACAAGCTTGCTAAAGAGGAGACATCTTCACTCTTTATCTTAAAAAAAGCCACTTTAAAAACAAATAATCAAGAAACTAAATATGGCCCAACATAAGGGAAAATAGAAGGCTAGTTACTTTTTTGACTTCTACAGATCTTCAGTTAATTTAAAGATACAGCTCTTAAATAGGTTTCGCCATTCAACAGCAAGCAGAGAAAAATAAAGCAAAATGCCAACAGCTACCATACCTGTTCTGTAAAGCAAAGTCCTGCTTACCACTCTGGAAGTACCACCAGAATATTAAATAAGTGAACAACAGAAGTTCAGGATTTAAGGATATTAAATTGGCTGGTAAGTTC